CAAGCCTCAAAGAGCTTTCAGAAGCAATAAAATGAAGCAATATAAACATTAATAAAAAGAGAGGTAAAACCAAAAATGATCAACACATACAATGAGGCAGTAAATACAAGGATGCTGTTGGACTCATTCCCTGCTTGTACACTTCCACTGGCCGCAGTGGGAAGAAAATGTGGACCAAACAGATCTTTGGACTGATTGAGCATGGTCGATTTTCCAGCAGATCCAATGAAAACTCACTCCTCCATTATAGTTTATTCATCAGATCAATGAAAGCAGCTTCAGTCACAAAACCAGGGTAGAAACTAGATTGAAATAGGTTAATTCAGCATCTTCCAGTAATGTTTAAGGCTGGACTCTCCATGCACCCTATTTAAGAAGTGTGTGTTCTACAAAAGAAGAGCTTCTACTAGCCAGTAGTTCAGGGCCAAAGCAGGGCAATTTCCTTTGACACATAAACAACAGAAGAAGCTGCCCTATGAAAATCAGACCAAATTCTTGCCTTAGCTGAAGATGCTGGAGACTGAACAAGAATCTTTTACATTCAAAACGTAAGCTCTATTACTGAGATAAGAACTTAGGGCAAATTATGCCTTCAGTTCTCATTCTCAATACAGTTCCTTCAATGACCTAAATTTTTGGAAACTCAAATATGAAACTATTTTCCTTCCAAGTTGTCCAAATGTTCATCAAATCTACTATCCTGGCTAGAATCCAGTAAGCCAAAGAACTGTGGCTTTCCCTTGTTTTCAACCCATTCCTATTCACTCAAAAACCCTAGCAGTTAATGACAGAGAATGAGAAGTCAAAAGTTTCAGTAAGCTATGATGCTTCTTGGATAAATCTAAGCAGTTCCATAGAATCCAATCTCTTTCTCCTAACTGGTTAGCAAGATGCTCATAATCAAAATGCAATGGAAAAGAGCATCTGTGTGCAGTATTTGATCATCAGAGCTCTGAAATTTTTATTTTGACTATTATGATTTTGACTCAATCTGTCTAATTCTTTGCATTTATGTGGCAGCAAATTTCAAAACTGTGCACACAGTTACACACATACCCTAGCTGTACTACTGTGGAAACAAATCACACAAGATACTTAAAAGCTACAACACTGCAGCAAAAAGAGTGCCAGTTTACTTCAAGAATACTTGATAGCATGAAATATTTTCAGATTACAGTCAACATTTACCACAAGCCTGTTACCTATGTGGTACATATAATAAAGATTTCTATAACTAGTGTTATGAAGAAAAAAATTATGTTATCAATTGTGACCCAGAAATGCTCTTTCTTTAAAGGTAACAGATTGTGTATCGATGTGCAATGCAAACAATGGAAAGGAGGTGGTCTGTTGGATAGGGAAGAGACAGACAGTATAAGAAAGGTGTTTTCAAAATAAAAATCAATATCCTGATTCTGAAAAATGAAAGTAACATCTACCGGTACATTGCTGTGGCAGTGGTGTGCCTTCAAGTTGTTTCTGACTTATGGTAACCCTAAGAAGAAGCCTATCATGGTTTTCTTGGCAAGATTTGTTCAAAAGGGATTTGACATTACCTTCCTTTGAGACTGAGGGCCTGAACAGACTGCTAGAAATAATTCAGCTTGACTGCCCTGGCTCAGTGCTAGGGAATCATGGGAACTGTAGTTTATTGTGGCAGAACTATCTGACAAAGAAGACTTAATGCCTCAGAAAAAACTACAATTCCCATGATTCCCTAGCATTGAGCCAGGACAGTTAAAGTGGTCTCAAACTATATTATTTCAGGGCCTGAGTGTGACTTGCAAAACATCACCCAGTGGCTTTCCATGGCCAAGTGAGGATTCAAATCCTGGGTCCAAAACACACTGCAGAAAATATCCAGTTTGAGACCACTGCCCTGGCTCAATGCTAGGGAATTCTGAGAATTGTAGTTTATTGTGGCACCAGAGCTCGCTGACAGAAAAGGCTAAATGTCTCACAAAACTACAGTTCTCAGAATTTCCTAGGACTGAGCAAGGGCAGTGGTTTGGGCCCCAGTCTCCAGAATCTTAGGGCCTTTGCAGACTGCTAGAAAGAGTGCAAATTGACAGTTAAATCCATTTTAACTGTTCTGGCTCAGTGCTAGGGAATCATGGGAACTGTATTTTT